AGTTGATGTCCTGTCTCTGATTTTTTTGACTATGGAAAAGAACATTTTCTTATAGTAATTTTTTCTATTTTAAAGATCTTAAAGAGGAGAGCATATATATTCTCTCTGCTTTTGTATATTTCTAGTGCTAATGAATATTTGTTCTTAAATGAGAAGCAGAAAATATAACTTGTTGATTTTGGGATTGGGGTCTGGGTAGAGTCATGCATAGATCAAGTCCTGGAAAAAGAAGAGGCCATGGCTAATGCTGCAAGCTACTATACTAACACCTTCTCAGTTGTATAGGCCATCCTATGTATGTTTGTCTGCTTTGTGAATTAGGAGTTCCTTGAGGGTAGGAAAGCTGTGTCCATCTGTTTATACAAGCATTCTTGTTAGTCTTTTAACACTCATCCACTCAAATGCTGTCTGATCCTTATCTCTCCCCCTTGGAGTGGAGCTGAGGGGGCTTGTATGGGAACATGTGCTGTTCTCAAGGTGGTACAGCAGCTGCACTTTGTACACTGCCCCTAGAGCTCCTGCTAAGTAGTATTTACTCTGAACCCAGTGCAGATGTATTTTCTTAGGGCACAGCTGTCACTGTGGTGCTATATATTCACCCAGTATACAGATCTGCTCACAACAGAGCGTAGTAAGAATTCTCTGTAGTGCATTGAAAGCAACATGTGATACTTCCAGCCTACCCACTTGCTTTAAGCTGGGGATATTGGAAGTCAGATGTCTGCCTTGTAGGAAATTTGTGAGGGCTGAAAATTCACATCTCTGAAGCAGCACGTGCTCCTCTGCTTTTCTGAGAGAAGTTAAAGATGCTTGGGTTTTCCAGATGAAGTCTGTGCTTGGGCTTGAGGCACTAAAGAAATCCTATTAAAATTAGATCTGTCAGTGGTACCTTGGCTTTGAATTTGTAAACAGAAATAGCTGTACCTTGAATCACTGGTGAACATCTTGCTGTAGCCTTAAATAAAGGCATTTCCAACACCTAGCAACTGAAAGCTATGTTGTAATCCAGAACAAGTCAGTTAAGACTGTTACAAAGGTTTGCTGAAATAGTTCTGTCTAGGTCTTGCCCAGAGATTTTTTAAAGAAAGAAATAAATAAATTGGTGGTCAAATTGAAAAATACATATTTGGCCTAGACAGTACTATATTTCTCTATGTTTGTGACTTCTGTTAATAGAAGAGAGGCTGAGATAAGAGCAAACTACAACTTGCTGTGTAGACAGCTCTGGATTTGGAGTCCAATTCCAAGTTTTAATTAACATTTGTCCCTCAAAAATATTTTTTACAAATAATTTTAAATAGAAAATATTCCCTAAAGATTTCACAAAGATGCAGTAAGATCTGCTATGCTTGTGATTATGTTTAGTAAATGTTTAGCAGAGCAGAGATGAATTTTCAAAGGAAAATACCAACAGATGAAAGATAAACACTTTGCATTCCATTCCCATCTTTAAAAATGGGAACAAGATAGTCTTGAATGTGCCTTGACATTTTGGATCTGGCTGCCCTATATCTCCATCCATATGCTGGTATTTTGTCCCCAGCAATTACTGACTGCTCTGAATGTCTGCTGTGGCTTCACTTGAAACTCTCACAGAGATCCCTCTTAGCTTCTAAAATAGTTTTGTACTTTGATTTGAGTATTTTATACAGATTATGCATGGAGACTCTAATAATGCCTTCTATATAAAGCTCTACAGGACCAAATAATCTACATAGCTTGCACTTAGCCAGTGGGAACACTGAGGGAAGAAGTAATTAATTCCTATTACTTACTGTTTTTCAGAATTACAGGTACAATAAACTAGATGCATCTTTTATACTTTCGAGTCTTGCTGTCCATGAAGCTAGGATAAGCTGAATTTTAGAGATAAAGTGACATCAGTGGAGTGCTGACCCCTGAAATGAGAATTGGAAAGATATGAAGGAATCCAGCCCAGAATTTTCTACCATTATACTTAGTTGAAGAGATGGCTACAAATACCTTTCATTTCTTTTAGGAAAGGAGTACTGGCTGGTACACCATGATTGGGACTGTTCCCTTGTCTTTCACAGTATGGTTCTCCAGCAGCTCTTTGCCCCAGAAGGGTGTTGCTATGGCCATAGTTAGAAATTCATATAAATCACAAATTCAAAGTTACTCAGGACTTTTTGAGAGTCTCTTCTGACAAACATATTCTTCCATTTAGGTAGTGTTTTCTAAAAGTGTTAGGCAGAAAATATCCTCCTAGAGTAAGTGAAATCAGGTCACTATTTACAACCATCCCCTCCCTCTAAATTGACTCTAATTCTAGGACAGTTGTAGTTAGCTGTTGTAACTTTGTTTTAAGATAGAACATTTACATTTGTGGCTGCTAAAAGAAGAAGTCAGAGAAAGTGAGAGGGAAGTCAGTATGTTTGTTACAGCTATGTTAAACCAGTCCCAGATCTAGACTTGTTTATCCTTTCTGTGGAAGCTCTGCTTCTCTGGGCTTGTTTGAAACATCCCTGGGGAGTGGAAGGACAGATATATGTGTTAAGTAAGAATTCCCAAATTAGGATAGGCGTTTGACTTTCAGTAAGTGGATTGATGCTCAAAAAACAGCCTTTGTTTTTGCTGGGAAAAAGCAGGGATTCCCAGCATTTGGAACCAGCTGTCTGGCTACTGAAAATATCAGCATCACGCAGTTAACGTTTTGTGGCAAGAACTTGCATGTTTCATGAGGAGGTAAAAGTGGTGTCTTCTCAAAGTGGTGTATGAAGATTATTTATTTAAAAATCTTCAAGAAGGTTCAAGCCTTGGTGTCAGCCTGATTGGCAAACAGATCGTGTTAATAGAAGAAAAGGATAAATTGAGAAAGAATAAAGTGTCCCACTTTATGAATTTATGTCTTGCTCATTTATCTGAATTCGACTTTGGTTCACATTTTGCCTTTTCCTGACCTCTTATTTTATTGCAGATTCTGTTTCTTGACATGTTTGGGGGAACTGAGTAGGGAAGGATCTTTCAGTAACTATACAAGTAGATGTGGGTATGCAAATGATCCATATTCTCTATAAGCTTCTGGATTCTGTGTATTTGGCACAAAGCAAGTCAATAAAATGCATAGAAGCTAATGTTGGTATAATAGGTTAGGAAAGCTGTGCTTGTAATGTGAATCTCTTGTTTCTATTAGTCTCTACCTATGAAGGTGCATTAGACTGCAGAGTAAAACTCCATCACTGAAACCACCACAAAATATTTCACCCATTCCTTAACACCAGAAAAAGTACATCAGGGAATTGTAATGCCATTATCAGTCAAATCTATTGTATGAAACATTACATCTGTGCTGTCTTTCACTCGGAAGACATAGAACTCTTATTGCATTCATCTCTAATGAAAAGGTCTAAAAACTTGTCTCTTCCAGTCAGATCAGTTCTGGGTTGTTACAGTCCCTGATTTCAAAGTAATCTTTGTTTTTAAGTAGTGTCCAGGTATTCAGGGTGCTCTGTTCTAGGACTCTGATACTAGAGCCTGTGTTCTAGTAAATTGATAGCTCCTATTGTTGGACTAGATTGTCTGTTAGCCTGCCAGCTTCAGTACTGGCAGCCTTAAATACCTTTAGGGGGTGTGAAGAAAGAGTTTGGGTTTTTTTGCCTTTTGTTGCTTATTTGTCTTTGCCAGTAAGGAGCATAAACAAGCAGTCTAGGGAACTGTTTTGAACAGCTTCTTGTTTTGAGTATGTACATATTTATAAGTGTTTTGAGGTCATATTAGGGAAGGCAAGTTAAAGAATTTCACTTTACACTTAGAAGTGTTTGAATTTGTGTTGGGTTTTGGTTTCCCTAGGAATTTAACTTCACAGTTTCAGACTGGCTGAATTCACAGGGGAATTTTGGCTCATAATTAAACACATCTTTCTTTTATGTTCACTGTACTGAAGGAACAGAGTTTTTGAATACAGCCTTTGTTGTAGCATTTTAGATTATCCTTGGGTTTTCTTAGAAGTGAGGAATGTAAGAGAGTCTCTAAAAATAAGAGCAAAGACCTATAGCTTATGTCCATACCCTTTAAGTACTGAGTGCTGAAAGCAGAGGACAACTCTGATGTGTTCACTAAAATTTGCCTGGCTGATGGTATGTGAAGGCTCTTCTGTTTTAGTTGGAGTTCCCTAGTGGAGTCAAGTTTCCTAAGTAGCTATATTCTATTGGTGCCATCCTTATGAAAGCTGAGAGGGCTGTGTAAAACTGAGGTCAGGATACTGTCCATCTGGAGAAGATGCAGTTCATGAGGTACCTGGAGGTAACAAAATGTGTTGCCATAGTGAATGACCAGAATTTCTGAATTGTTGTTTCAGTAGTTGGGTTTGTAGTTGAAGCATTGTGGCTTGTTATTTCTAAGAGTACTGGTCTGTCTTTGGAGTGTCAGGTCTAACATGCTGATGACATCATTTTATGTGTGTAGTAATCTGTCTTGGCCATGGAGCTGTAGTTGTATGTGGGTGAGGTTAAGCAGAATGATTTCTTACAAACCTTGCTATGAAAGAAGCAAAGCATGCCCAAGCCTCCTCACGCACCTTCATTTTCTGTCTGCTCCGTATAATGAATTAATTAGGAAAAATGGCTCTTAGGGGGAAACATACAATAAAATCATGCAGTAAATAGTGGTTCATTAGTTTTCTGTTTCTGAGTAATGTCTCTATATAGTACTGCATTATAAATAGTGATAATTATCCCCTTGAGGAAGAGATAATAGGTGGTAAGGGAACCACTATGTTGAGCTTAACCTCTCAAAATGGAAGTAATGACAAGTAGATGTTGTCCTGGACCTTTGCAGATATGTGAGTTAACTCTGATTTGTTTAATTTCCATACATTTTGTTGTTTCACCCATACTATAATAGATACAGCTAGTATTGCATCTGTTAGGGCATTTATTGCTGAGTCTGTTCTGTATTATAATTCTGGGAAAGTTCTCAAAGTGTTTTGTGTACAGAATGACTTATCCTGATAAGATTTTTTATTTTCTTTTCCCACACAGATCACCCCTGGCAGCAAGGCAGCACAGTCACAGATGAACCAGGGGGACCTTGTGGTGGCCATCGATGGAGTCAACACTGACAGCATGACCCACCTCGAGGCCCAGAACAAGATCAAGTCAGCTAGCCACAACCTCAGCCTCACTCTTCAGAAGTATGTTGATACAAGTTAAAGTCTTTGCATTCCTAAGGGCATCCTATGAAACTCATGACTAAGGGTTGTCAATCTGTTAGATTTATTTGAAGTGTTCATGGCACAGATATGAGGTGGAAAGCCACAATCTGCTTTCATTCCTGTAGAAATCAGCACAGATTCTTATAGAACTCAGATGGCTGATATGTTGAGTGTATCTGTGTGGAATTTAGCCTCTTGAATACAGGTGTAATCCCATATTCATTCAAGCTTCTGTTAAATAAATACAACAGTGATATTTCTTCTGTTGGTTCCCACATGGAGAACTATTGCAATCTGACTGGTGAGAGGTGCCTCTGCCCAAATTAAGGTGCAAATGAGATCATATGCTGAAGTCAATAATACATTAATAATATGAAAATACGGGTTTTATTTGATCATAATTATACATGTGAGGTAGAGAGATGGAAAGAAATATGAAAGAGCAGGGGGAAAGAGAGAGAACAAGATGGAGAGTGAGTGAGAGAGAGAGTAAGAGAGAGAGGGAGAGGGAGGGAGACAGTTGCCACCAGTGCAGCCAGCAGCGTCCTGTTGGTCCACCTTCACCCTGTGCTTCTTGATGGTGGAGGTCCCGAGTTGTTCTGCTGGTCCAGAATCATGCTGTTGGTCGTGTGGGTCCCAGATTGCTCATATAGGGGTACCACATTTATACAGCCCAAATTCCAGGTATCTGTGGAGGTGTATTCCTAATTTCCATGTGAAGTGAACATGAGTGTACCTTCATTTGCAAACTTCCTCAGGGTGAGTGTTTGGTGGTCGCAGATACTGCCTGTCTGGGGTGAGACCAGTGAGGTGAGATGTATATGCAGTTTGCCCCAGCAGGCATTTTTGTTTCGATTTTTTTTGTGCTAACCAGATCTCACCTCTGCCAAGTCTGGAAATAGCACAAATTCTTCTCTTTTGTGCTTATCTCAAGTTGCTGCCATGGTAGCTAGTGCATCTTAGGGCAAATCCCTTTTGTGGCCTTCACAAGTATTTGAGACAGACAAGGTATTCTTTAATTCCTTATAACAACACAGTTTTGTTTGGTTGATTTATGAATGACTATTCTAGAAATGACCAGCATAACAAGAGTTATGAGTGCATGGGAGGAACCTGTAATTCACAGCATGAATAGTCACAGTAGGCTGAGAATTTGTCCTAATAGTCTGGCGCCTTTGAGTTTGCAAGTGTCCACTCTGCATCTGACAGAATAAGAAAGATGTAGCCTGAGTGCAGGAAAGGGGATCAATAGAACATGGAGAGGACAGGTGTTCTCATAGAGATCTGATAGAACTTGTCTTGCCGTTAAGAAAGCAGATAATTTTCCTGGTTAATGTTGCTTCCAAGGAAACTTGTTCTCAAGTCAGATAACCTTGCACGGAGGATTTCTGAAATAAGTGCATTAATATTTAAAGTTCCATAACTGTAGAAAGTGAATTAGTTGCTAATTTTATTGCATAGTGGAGAAGATAACTTTTGTATAGGGTAGGCAAAGACTGGTACAGAAAGCAGGATGTAATCTGTGGTTAAGATATCCAGGTTATCCTATAACATATCACAGATAGAAATCACTTGAAACCGTAATTTTGATCAAGTGTTGGCAGGGATTTCATATGAGTAATTGTTGTGCTTTTGTACTTGCTGACCTCTGAATTATAACACCTGTAACTCTAGTGGCCACATCATTAAGGAACAAAAAAGAAAACTGGTGGAAATACCATTATTTATTGCTGTCATGCTGTATTTATTGTTTATTTTATCCTTCTAAGTCTTGCGTTGTCTCTTGGCTCCGAAGCAATAGCACATGATTCAGATAATCAAGTTATATGGACAATGAACAGCCAAAGAAGGCAGTAATGGAGTGTCCCACAGACTAAAATATGCCTGCATAGATAATAGATGTAGATGAGCTAAGGTTCATTTTGAAAAGAAGAAAAATGTTGTAACATGAAAGGAAATACTAGTAAGCAAGTGTAGGTCAGAAACCTGCTTTGTTAGCAAATGAAAACTTTCACAGATGATGATTTTGCTCTGAACTTATACAAATCATAGTCTCCTCTGCAGCTGCTATATGATGTGAGCTTTTAGTTCTCATTGGTGACCCATTCAGTCTCACTGGAGTTATATGGGAAAAACCAATGACAAAGATCGAAAAGTAATCTATTGTTTTAATAATGTTTTTTTCTTAGATGATTAGGGGCTATTCAAAAAGTTTTGCTCAGAGGTATTAAGCTGGTTTTGCTTTGCACAATTCAGTATTTATACAAGCTAAACCCTATCAGCATGTGATCTCAGCCAACTGACATAAGCATAGAACCCTATTAAAGATCCAATATCCCAGTGTCTTGAACAAAAGGCATCTCCACAATATTCAGGAAGTTAGATTAATATCACCATGAAAAATCTTTTTTTTTCCTGGACATAAATGATTTAATTTACTTAAGTACAAAACTGTTATGTTAGTTTAGTCACCTGCCCAAAATTGACATGCAATATATTTTTTTCAGCAAAAATAATTTTACAAAGATTGTATTGAGGAGAAGAATAACAGTTAACAGGAAAAATATGGGAGCTGTGACAAGGGATAGTAACTTTCAACCAAATAAGAACAAAAGGGATGAAAAGCAAAATCTCCTGGGGCTTGGTTACCAGGAAAATGGCTGTGCTAAGAGATCACTTTGACTTTTTTAGACATGGCTTGCAGCAACGAAACTGGAGTGGAGTGTTCTACTACTATGGAAAAACAGTGCTAGTTGCCATAAAGAGCACAGAGATGGAAACACTTATCTTATTTGTATGACAGTTTGGAAACACTGGAAATCCTTTCAAATGGAAAAGACATATATGTGCATTAGGAAATTGACTGTTGTGATAGGAAAACTTAAGCCCTAAATTGTGATGATACTGGACATTTATGTGAAGTAGTCACATGGCTCTACGGAATGTTTCAAGGTCATGGAATGCCTTACCAGGAAATCTGTGGCTTGGTTTCGCTGTTGCAGCACTGGAAGGAGAAGTGAACTTGCTTGTTTAATCTATAAGGCCGTGGAAGAAGCAGTGGAATGTGAAATCTAGACATAAATGCTCTCAGATAGAAAGCTTTTTATTTTTCTAATGGTTCTTGGCTCTCAAGAGTGATGGCCTTTCCTTTTATTGATCCAGCCCATAAGGTTTCATAAGCATTGTTTATAACCTGACAGTTCAGACAGTGTTTGCTGCTACTCACTTTTATTATCACACTTCAGTTGCCTGTGGTTTTTTTCAGGGTGGGGAGCTGGTTATTTTTTCTTATTTGGCTGCCAAGAAAAGCTGTACATGGTGTCAGCATTTGTGCAGGACATCAAATTGCGTGACATCAAATGTAGAAGAAGGGAAGCATTAAGAGTGCCCATTGATACTTGCCTGCCTAAATACTGAGAGTCTGTGCTTCCCTGGCTGTGCTAACTTAGTTTTATTTGAGTACCATCAATCTGCACTGTTCAAGGTACACTGACATAGCTCTTCAAGTGCTTAGAGCTCATGTTTTCACACGAAACCACAAAATTAGACTGGAAGTCTATGCCAGAGGTCTGATCGGGCAGCCAGAACCTGTTACTGGCTTGAGTGCAACACTTCACTGTTTGGCTGCTGATTTCTCCAGGGTCAGGGAGTCGAGGTATTTGGACTATTTCTGGAGAGAGATTCCCCCAGTGATGTGGGAATGTATGGGGGACCCTCCAGACTAGCTCTTTCAGTGTAGAGGACAAAATACATCTAGGAAGTGAATTTTTTTTTTTGCTGAAGCAATTAGAGCAGGAGTGAGGGGAGAAGGAAAGAAATGTGTTTGGCACTGTGCACTACTACCCAGTAGAACTCCATGAGGGATAAATGGTTTTCAGGCAAACCAGACTGATATTCTGAAACATTAGATACTTATATAGATGCAGCTTGATTCTTAGAAACCTGCATTGCTCTAGGTGTGCTGCCGGGGGATTGGTGCTATTTCTACTAAGCTGTGCTGTGGAAGGCCATGATCATACTCTATAATGGCCTGGGTTATGGTGGAAAAAGACATTGCTTTGCTTTTAGTCTTTTTGAGACCTCCTGGAGTTTAGTTCTCAGTCATTTTTCAGTATCAGTTTCTAATCAGTTACTTGAGCTACACAGCTGCCCTCAGGCATTTTAATTCTGGGCCAGTCAAAGTTCATCTTTAACTGTCTGGCTGTTCCACAGCTATTAGGCCATAAACTTTTAGTCCTGCAGTATTCAGTTCACAGGTGTAAAATGAAAGGCATGCAAAATCTACTTTTATTATGTACAAATGGGCTTCATTTTCAAATGCACAGTAAATGCAGTGTACAAGAGTGCAGTATTATTTGTCAACATGTTTCACTGAAGCATCTACAACATTCATTTGATCTTAACTCAAGGAATCTGATCGGCCTCCTTGGAAAGGATTCACCAAATGTACTGGCTTAGTTTTGGAAAGTGCTGTAACATGAGAGTGCCTCATTCTGCTGGCACAAACATTCCTGTGTCACTCTAAGACTCCTGCTTTGGCGTCACTCTGTGCTGCTGGAGAGGAGCAGGGGAGGTGGAGAGTTTCTGTGCCTGGTGCGATCGACAAAACCAGCCTGTCAGTGATGCTACCATTCGCTTTGAGGCAGTCACAATTCACTGTCTTTTGCTGGAAAATCATGAGCTAAATAATTCTTTTCTCTACTGAAAGGGAAAGTGGCAGAGGCAAAGTTATGAGAGACTTACGGTAAATGTTTAATAGCTTTCCTTTTTTGTGCAGCACCAAAAGATGGCTGATCCTGCAGTATTTATTTCAGGCCTACTATAAATAAAGCATGTGGTGACAGCAAACTGCAAGCAAGGGGAATTCAGTGGTTATTGTAAACTGCTTTCCTTTGTCTGAAGCTGTGAATAGTAACCAATTCTGTGCATGTTTTAGGTCTGCTGATGGGCATGTTTAAATCAGAACCAGATTTAGGCTG